AGCATTTTGGCTGCGTTGACCGTACCGGTGAGAGTATTTCTCCAGCCCACGATTCACCTGGAATTGTTTCATTATTTTTCAGGTTCCAAGATTTATTAGTACAAACCACACCACTATCATTTAGTCCCCGCTGGTTTTCTGAAAGTGCTTTTTTTTATTTTTTTTTATCCTTTTGGTGAACTTTTTTTTTTTTTTTTTATCCACAGTGACCCCGAACCGAAGAATTATATTAGGCAGCAAAAGACTGTAAGCACTGCCTGGCCATTGAGATGAATGACGTGAACGTTCACAAACAGGTCTGATTACCGGGGACAAGGGGGATGATTATCTCAAATAGAAGGCTGAGTGGCATCGCCGCACTCACAGATTCGTTCACGTGCGTTTCCGGACTCCAGACTTAACCACTTGCCCACCGCGACAATTTTTCATTGTTGCCCATGTGAAATGTTTTATCTCCAAAGATTTTTGCACAATTGTTTATCAAACACACGCAGCTTTGGGGAGGAGTACTATGGCAGGGTGATGTCATGTTTATAGGAAGCTATGTAGCTGTTGGCCCCTCCCAACAGCCATGATCTACCTGCATTGCATAGAGATGCAAAGAGACCCGGTGATGACATCATCGGTTCTGAAATAAAATATGTAAAGAAAAATAGACGTTTAATAAAGAATTGATACAGTTGATGTTACCGAGTCGCTGGCTTCATTGTATTAGAGGATTATTGCTACATTTCAAAGACATTTTGGCCAAAGCACCAGTATCCTGACCCTTCCCAATCCTATCCAAAACTGCCTCTGGAAGAAACTTCCAGAACATAGGGAGGGAGATTCAAATGACCAGCCTGAATATTTATTATGGCCTGGCCAATCCCTGGAGAGGAGTGTCCAGAAGGTGGCTGGAGAGATGATAAATAGTCTAAAGCCCTAGAGAGATTGTTCCTTCTCCCCAGGAGGACTCCAAGCCTTAGGGGCTGCTGCCCTCCTGAGGAATCCTGTGGACTGTGAAGCTGTTCTTGAGACCTCAGTGGTGTCAGGGCTGAGGGCCTGGAATGAGCTTCCTGAGGAGCTGGATGCAGGAGTTCACCATAGGGTCTGGAGAAGGGTTGTCTCCCTCACTAGACCCTATCTGGAGGAAGCTAGAATGTGTGCAACTCTCCTGGGGACCTGTGAGTAGTGACCCTGAACTGATTCCTGGTGATTGTGTGCTTCTTGGATGTTTCAGAGCTAGTTTGGATTGAAATGGCTCTCATAGGGTCCAGAAGGTGGCTGGAGAAGTGATACATATTCTGAAGCCGTAGAGAGCTTGTTCCTTCTCCCCAGGAGGGTTCCAAGCCTTAGGGGCTGTTGCCCTTCTGAGGAATCCTATGGACTGTGAAGCTGTTCTTAAGACCTCAGTGGTGCCAGGGCTGGGGGCCTGGAGTGAGCATCCTGAGGAGCTGGATGTGGGAGTTCACCATAGGGTCTGGAGAAGTTTTGTCTCCCTCACTAGACCCTGTCCGGAGGAAGCTAAAAGGTGTGAAACAGTCCTGGAGACCTGTGAGTAGTGACCTTGAACTGATTCCTGGTGTGCTTCTTGGATGTTGGATGTAGGGAAGAACCATCCATTACCAGTGGCAATCTTCTAATACAATGTATCCAGTTACTCGCTAACATCCATTGCATCAATTCTTTACTAGACCCTGTCCGGATTCTGAAGCCGTAGAGAGCTTGTTCCTTCTCCCCAGGAGGGTTCCAAGCCTTAGGGGCTGTTGCCCTTCTGAGGAATCCTATGGACTGTGAAGCAGTTATTGAGACCTCAGTGGTGTCAGGTCTGAGGGCCTGGAGTGAGCTTCCTGAGGACCAGTCTCCCAGGTAATTTGCGGTAGCTTACATTTTCTTTGTTGGGCTTCTACCAGCGGCCCCTCTGGGGGTAGCGCTACAATAGCTTGAACAAAATGTTCCCATTGATGATTTCCCTTCTATTACGGCAACTGCAAAAACTCAATAATGATCCCCACCAGAAGAGGTGCAGACAACCATTAAAGGCTAACACAGGTTATGGCCCTTCCCCATCCTATCCAGAACTGCCTCTGGAAGAAGCTTTCAGAACATAGGGAGGGAGATTCAAATGACCAGCCTGAATATTTATCATGGCCTGGCTAATCCCTGGAGACAAGTGTCCAGAAGGTGGCTGGAAAGGTGATACATATTCTGAAGCCGTAGAGAGCTTGTTCCTTCTCCCCAGGAGGGTTCCAAGCCGTAGGGGCTGTTGCCCTTCTGAGGAATCCTATGGACTGTAAAACTGTTCTTGAGACCTCAGTGGTGTCAGGGCTGAGGGCCTGGAGTGAGCTTCCTGAGGACCAGTGTCCCAGGTGATTTGTGGTAGCTTACATTTCTTTGTTGGGCTTCTACCAGCGGCCCCTCTGGGGGTAGCGCTGCAATAGCTTGAACAAAATGTTCCCATTGATGATTTCCCTTCTATTATGGCAACTGGAAAAATCTCAATTTGGATCCCCTCCAGAAGAGGCGCAGACAACAATTAAAGGCTAACACAGGTTATGGCCCTTCCACATCCTATCCAAAGCTAAAAAAAAGGGAAATGTTTGGCTTTAGATGCACGATACCAGTGGGGCGCGTTACTTCCATCAACACTGCCAGGAGCTCAGGATGACCTGCAGCTAATTGCAGGAAAAAGGAGAATTCCTAATCTATCAGCGCACAGCTTGCAGGCAATCAGAGTTCGTCCGATCGCAGAACATCTGCAAACCAAAGCGTAAAAAAAAAACCGGGAGCCATCCCTCCGAATGAATATTTCTGAAATGATTGTCAGACTGGAGGCATGAAGCGGCAATACGGCTTTGTGCATTAATGGACGTCACTCCAGTCCTGGGCTGAAGGACCATCATATCCTGCTGCATGGAGGAGCGCCATTATCTTATTAACAGGAGGAGGATCTGAGAGCAGCAATGATCTGACCCACTTAACACCCGTGCCCTGGAGATGAATGTATGGGCACGCATGTCCTCCGAGTCCGTCCAATCCCGATTGTGTCTGAGGGATTACATGGCCATTGGAAGGCATCCATTTGTTATTAAAGCTGAAGGTCAATCTTCTTGCATTTTGCCTTCCTTGGTTCCTCCCCCCTCCCCCATCAACATACCAACACAATGTTTAACCACTTCCCCTCCGCCGTGATTTAGCATTTTGCATCCCTACTCGCGCTGTCATTTGCAGCCTCACCTGTCAATCACCGGGTGATTACCCACCGACACCCGGTGATTGCCAGGAGAGACCTGTGTATAAACAACATGGATCTCTCCCCATCAGCTCCTGCACACTGCTTTGTATGGCTCTGCATAGCACAGCCATACAAAGCAGTGTGCTTACAGTGAAGCACACAGTTAACCTTTTGATTGCCCCAGATGTTAACCCCTTCCTGCCCAGTGCCATTGGTGTCAGTGCTTTCTGTTAGCACTGATTACTGTATTGGTGTCACTGGCATCGCCCCAGATGTTAACCCCTTTCCTGCCCAGTGCCATTGGTGTCAGTGCTTTCTGTTAGCACTGATTACTGTATTGGTGTCACTGGCATCGCCCCAGATGTTAACCCCTTTCCTGCCCAGTGCCAATAGTGTCAGTGCTTTCTGTCAGCACTGATCACTGTATTGGTGTCACTGACATCACCCCGGATGTTAACCTCCTCCTGCCCAGTGCCATTAGTGTCAGTGCTTTCTGTCAGCATTGATCACTGTATTGGTGTCACTGACATCGCCCCAGATGTTAACCCCTTCCTGCCCAGTGCCATTAGTGTCAGTGCTTTCTGTTAGCGCTGATCACTATATTGGTGTCACTGACATCGCCCCAGATGTTAACCCCTTCCTGCCCAGTGCCATTAGTGTCAGTGCTTTCTGTCAGCACTGATCACTGTATTGGTGTCACTGACATCACCCGGATGTTAACCCCTCCTGCCCAGTGCCATTAGTGTCAGTGCTTTCTGTCAGCACTGATCACTGTATTGGTGTCACTGACATCACCCCGGATGTTAACCTCCTCCTGCCCAGTGCCATTAGTGTCAGTGCTTTCTGTCAGCATTGATCACTGTATTGGTGTCACTGACATCGCCCCAGATGTTAACCCCTTCCTGCCCAGTGCCATTAGTGTCAGTGCTTTCTGTCAGCACTGATCACTGTATTGGTGTCACTGACATCGCCCCAGATGTTAACACTTTTCTGCCCAGTGCCATTAGTGTCAGTACTTTCTGTCAGCATTGATCACTGTATTGGTGTCACTGACATCGCCCCAGATGTTAACCCCTTCCTGCCCAGTGCCATTAGTGTCAATGCTTTCTGTCAGCACTGATCACTGTATTGGTGTCACTGACATCGCCCCAGATGTTAACCCCTTCCTGCCCAGTGCCATTAGTGTCAGTGCTTTCTGTTAGCACTGATCACTGTATTGGTGTCACTGACACCAAGCCAGTAACCCCCCAGTGTCAGAATGCCCAACGCAGTCCCATTGTAAGTCGCTGATGGCTGCCATTACTAGTAAAAAAAAAAATATTCCAGCATATATACCGCCATTTGTAAGCGCTATAACTTTCACGTAAACCAATTTACATGTATTGGGATTTTTTTTTAGCGAAGACACGGAGCAGAATACATTTTGGCCAAAATTTATGACGAAATTTGATTTTTTAAGAAAACCTTTCTGTTTACATTGTATACCTTATTTTAGATTCAATGATGTCATCACTGGGTCTCTGTGCTTCTATATGCAATGCAGCCTCTTCCACCATGACTGGTGGGAGGAACTGACTGAAAACATCACAGCAACTTGCCTCAGTACTCCTCTCAGGAGCCCTCAGCCCTTGTGCAACCAGTGGGCCGGCTCTTGGGAAGAGTTATGCAAATATCCAAATGTCTTGATGGGCAGCTATCAGTCTGGAGCAGTGGATGTTCCTAGGCAGGTTACATTGACATGAAGACCACCCTAGGTGATGCCCATGTGTGATGCTGAGATTCCATGATTGAAAGGGGTGGACAGGCAGGAGAGCAAAGAGCTAGATGATGCTGGACGTCCTCCAGCCAGGAAATGAGGTGGAGCTCTATCTGACTTGCTGCAGCTTCTAATGCACAGTGTGAGACGCTCCCAGTGTGCAGTGACATCAGAGGAAGATGTTTCAGTCCAGGAGAGGAGCTGGTACACCTGTGCACGACTGAAGGGGAGGAGCCTATACACCTGTGCAAGACTGGAGGGGAGGAGCCAGTACACCTGTGCAAGACGGAAAGGGGAGGAGCCGGTACACCTGTGCATGGCTGAAGGGGAGGAGCCAATACACCTGTGCAAGACTGGAGGGGAGGAGCCAGTACACCTGTGCAAGACGGAAAGGGGAGGGGCCAGTACACCTGTGCAAGATGGAAGGGGAGGAGCCGGTACATCTGTGCAAGACTGAACGGTAGGAGCCGGTACATCTGTGAAAGACTGAAGGGGAGGAGCCGGTACACCTGTGCAAGATGGAAGGGGAGGAGCTGCTACACCTGTGCAAGATGGAAGGGGAGGAGCCACTACACCTATGCAAGACGGAAGGAGAGGATCCAGTACACCTGTGAAAGATGGAAGGGGAGGGGCTGGTACACCTGTGCAAGACTGGAGGGGAGGAGTTGCTACACCTGTGCAAGATGGAAAGGGAGGAGCCGGTACACCTGTGAAAGACTGAAGGGGAGGAGCCAGTGCAACTATGCAAGGCTGCAGGGGAGGAGCCAGTGTAACTGTGCGAGACTCGAGGGGAGGAGCTGGTGCTCCTGTGCAAGAGTGGAGGGAAGGAGCTGTTACACCTGTGAAAGACTGAAGGGGAGGAGCCAGTACAACTATGCAAGGCTGCAGGGGAGGATCCAGTATAACTGTGCAAGACTGGAGGGGAGGAGCCAGTACACCTGTGCAAGACTGGAGGGGAGGAGCCAGTACACTGGTGAAAGATTGAAGGGGAGGAGCCAGTACAACTATGCAAGGCTGCAGGGGAGGAGCTGGTACACCTTTGAAATACTGAAGGGGAGGAGCCAGTACACCTGTGCAAGACTGGAGGGGAGGAGCCAGTACACCTGTGAAAGACTGAAGGGGAGGAGCCAGTACAACTAGGCAAGGCTGCAGGGGAGGAGCCGGTACACCTGTGCAAGACTGAAGGGGAGGAGCCAGTACACCAGTGCAAGACTGAAGTGGAGGTCAGAGGGAGGATTTACATTTGTAAAAAACAAACATTTTTGTCCAAACATACTAACCCTTTCAGGGGGACATTTGGAGTTTGTATATACAACATTTTGGATGTATATGTTTTCGCACGTAAAGCACAAATGTTTGCTGTTTTGTTTGTAATATAATTATCTCCTATGATCACCATCTCCACCTAGTGGAGGGAGAGAGAGGGTTTCCCATGTCAAAAATTCAAAAAGAACTTGGAATGAGCCCCCCCCCCCTCCCCAAATCCATATGAGAACCCTTCTGGAACCATACCAGACCACATCCCCTCAATGCAGGGGGTGCTTTGGGGGGGACTTTCCAAAAGCACCTTTTCCCCATCACAAGCCATTTCAATGGGGAAATGGACACCACTCAACTCACCCCAGGAATCAGATGTATGGGATGGCCTCAGCCACTGCTCTGGCCACACCCACTGATGTGTTTTGCACCGCCCACCAGGGCTTGATCACAAAGGCCGGTGTCCATTGAATTGTCTGATGGTGGAATCACTTCTGGACTCCTGCTCCCTTCTTTTGTGGTGTCACCCCTTTTTCCATCTCCAGCCGTAAGGTATTTCACCTTGTCCCCATGTTGATGAGGACAAGGGCCTCTTCCCCACCACCCTGGCCTGATGGTTTTGGGGGAGCAGGGGAGGGTGACTTATCAGAATCTGGAAGCCCCCTCTAACACACAGTCTCCAGATCCCCCCCATGTGAATGAGTAGGCATACATAGTACCCAGGGGCGGACTGACCATTCGAGCACTCGGGCACTGGCCGAGAACCCAGGGTCAGTAGGGGGCCCCATGAAATGCCCCTGGTACCTTTTATAGGCTTTTTTGGGTGTGCTTTGAGTGTGGGCAAGGACAAAGGGGCCCCATGATCCCCTATTGCCCGGGGGCCCCATGAGTTGTCAGTCCGCCCCTGATAGTACCCCTACTCATTCACTAAAAAAATGGCCAAAATAAATGAAAACCTGGAGTAAATTTTTGACAAGTCTTCTATTAAAAAAAGGAAAAAAAAAAAATGTCCCCAAAGTAAAGCCAGCATCAATGAACACCGCCTGTCGGCCCACATGGGAAAAAAATAAAAACAGGTCCGCACTCCACGTTCGGCTCCAGCCAATTGACAGCTCCGCTTTCCACTAAACCTAGGGTCAGGGTCACCCAGGGATATTACTGTGTGACCCCGCCCCCTTGTGACTTCATTGACTCAGCATGCCCCAGTCGATGACATCACAAGTAAAGAGTTAAATAGAGAGCTCTAACACCATTGATCTTTTTAGCTATCTGTAAGGAGCAGGGCGGACTGACCATTTGGAAACTCAGGCACTGGGTCAGTAGGGGGATGCCCCTGGTACCTTTTTCATAGGCTTTTTTGAGTATGAGTTTGGGCAAGGACACAGGGGCCCCATGATCCCCTATTGCCCAGGGGCCCCATGAGTTGTCAGTCTGCCCCTGGTAAGGATGTCATTCTTTGCAATGACCACAAGTATAAGGAACATTCTTCTCATTGACCATCACACTAATCTATGATGAGTTGTAGATACAGTAATATATAGCAGGGTTCCCTGAGAATGGAGAGGGGTCCTCTGTGTCGAAAAAAGGTTGAGAAAGCCTGGGCTCGACCGAAGCCAGATGAAAGCCCGCTTCGAGTTTTCCAAAAAAGCTTCTGCAAACTCCAAGCAAGCACTGAGGAGAGACTTCCGTCTAGGCCAGGGGTAGGCAACCTGAGAGCCGCAGGACTACAAGTTCCATCATGCCTCTGCAAGTCAGAGCTGTAACTGTCAGTTTTGTAATCTTTTCAATGCCTCATGGGAAATGTAGTTCCACAACAGCTAGAGAGCCGCAGGTTGCCTACCTCTGGTCTAGCCAAACCCATGGCCAATCAATCGAAGTTCCCAGGTGGACTCCAATCCAGGCGTGGAGAAATCTCAGCAACGATCAAGAGAAACGAGCTCCATTTCAAGTCTTGTTGCAAAGGGTCTGAATACTTCTGCCAATGTGATATTTCGGTTTTTCCTTTTTCATACTTTTGCAAACATTTCTAAGATTCTGTTTTCACTTTGTCGTGACGGGGTACGGAGTGTAGATACATGAGAAAAGAATTGAGGATTAACGAACTGTAGTATCAGGCAGCAACATGTTAAAAAAGTGAAGGGGATTTATTTTAGGTACTTTTATAGCGCTGTCAATTTACACTCATATTGTCCCCGCCCCTGAGGAGCCTACAATCTAAGGTCCCTAACCCTCAAGGAGCGTACAATCTAAGGTCCCTAACCCTCAAGGAGCGTACAATCTAAGGTCCCTAACCCTCAAGGAGCGTACAATCTAAGGTCCCTAACCCTCAAGGGGCATACAATCTAAGGTCTCTAACCCTCAAGGGGCGTACAATCTAAGGTCCCTCACCCTCAAGGGGTGTACAATCTAAGGTCCCTAACCCTCAAGGGATGTACAATCTAAGATCCCTAACCCTCAAGGGGTGTACAATCTAGGGCCCCTAACCCTCAAGGGGTGTACAATCTAAGGTCCCTAACCCTCAAGGGGTGTACAATCTAAGGTCCCTAACCCTCAAGGGGTGTACAATCTAAGGTCCCTAACCCTCAAGGAGCGTACAATCTAAGGTCCCTAACCCTCAAGGGGCGTACAATCTAAGGTCCCTCACCCTCAAGGAGTGTACAATCTAAGGTCCCTAACCCTCAAGGGATGTACAATCTAAGATCCCTAACCCTCAAGGGGTGTACAATCTAGGGCCCCTAACCCTCAAGGGGTGTACAATCTAAGGTCCCTAACCCTCAAGGGGTGTACAATCTAAGGTCCCTAACCCTCAAGGGGTGTACAATCTAAGGTCCCTAACCCTCAAGGGGTGTACAATCTAAGGTCCCTAACCCTCAAGGGATGTACAATCTAAGATCCCTAACCCTCAAGGGGTGTACAATCTAGGGCCCCTAACCCTCAAGGGGTGTACAATCTAAGGTCCCTAACCCTCAAGGGGTGTACAATCTAAGGTCCCTAACCCTCAAGGGGTGTACAATCTAAGGTCCCTAACCCTCAAGGGGTGTACAATCTAAGGTCCCTAACCCTCAAGGGGTGTACAATCTAAGGTCCCTAACTCACATTCATACAAACACATACTAGGGCCAGTTTAGACAGGAGCCAATTCACCTACCAGCATGTCTTTGGAGTGTGAGAGGAAACCGGAGTACCCGGAGGAAACCCACACAGGCACAGGGAGAACATGCAAACTCCAGGCAGGTGGTGCTGTGATTGGGATTCAAACCCATGACCCGAGTACTGCCAGGCGGAAGTGCTAACCACTAACCCCCGGTTCAAATCTGTGTGGGTGGTGCCGCTGCGGATCCACATGAAAATCCACCCGCACAGGCAATTGCAGACCCGTGGATGGGTACCATTAATTCTAATGGCACACTGGGAAATGCAACCGTACTGGGCAGGGGCGGACTGACCATTTGGAAGCTCGGGCACTGCCCGAGGGCCCGGGGTCAGTAGGGGGCCCCATGAGTTTCCCCTGGTACCTTTTTCATAGGCTTTTTTGAGTTTGGGCAAGGACACAGGAGCCCCATGATCCCCTATTGCCCAGGGGCCCCATGAGTTGTCAGTCTGCTCCTGGTACTGGGAACCTCGGCTGCGTTTTCCAAAGTAGTGCAGGGACTCCTTTCCCTGCGTGTCACGGGCACGGGAGTCCATTCAAATAAATGGGCTCTCGTGCCCGAGAAAAACACAGCCCGCACGGCCGCGTAGGTGTGAAGCGGGGGTAAGCAAGTCAGAGCTGTAACTGTCAGTTTTGTAATCTTTTCAATGCCTCATGGGAAATGTAGTTCCACAACAGCTAGAGAGCCGCAGGTTGCCTACCTCTGGTCTAGCCAAACCCATGGCCAATCAATCGAAGTTCCCAGGTGGACTCCAATCCAGGCGTGGAGAAATCTCAGCAACGATCAAGAGAAACGAGCTCCATTTCAAGTCTTGTTGCAAAGGGTCTGAATACTTCTGCCAATGTGATATTTCTATTTTTCCTTTTTCATACGTTTGCAAACATTTCTAAGATTCTGTTTTGACTTTGTTGTGACGGAGTTCGGAGTGTAGATTCATGAGAAAAGAACTGAAAAGTAACAAACTGTAGTATCACTTTAGAAAGTGAAGGGGATTTCACTTTTTTATAGTGCTGGCAATTTACATATATATATATATTTTTTTTAATTTAAATATTTATTGATTTTCATCCAAACAAATAATACACACTTATTCTTTTAAAAAAAAATTAACACAATTAAAATTTACATATATATTGTACATTCACATCAGTCCCCGCCCCCGAG